AGGGATGAAGAGAACTCAACTCGACTCGAAAAATGTATATTTTTTTTTGACTCAAATCGACTAAAAAACTCAACTCAAATTAATTTCGAGTCGTAATTTCATAAACGTAACTAAAAAAATAAAATTCAAGTCGAAAAAAATCAAATTCAAGTCGAGTTATAAAATAGAACTTGAATAACTCAAATATTTTTATTAATTAGTGAATTAGTTTTCAAGTTTGAGTTTAGTCCCTCAACTTTGTATGATATATGCATATCATATATTAAAAAAATATGAAGAAACATATATGTATTGTATATGGTTATAGAAAACCATTTAAATTGGAATCAAATAGTATCATAATGTCATAAATATTTATAATTAAATTTAAACTGAAAGTCGAACAATTCGACCCGAATTTTATAAACTTGACGCAACTAAAAAATTAAATTCAACTCGAGTTATAAAATAGGACTTATCAAGTCGAATAACTTAAATTTTTTTGACTCAACTTGATTGAACGCTCACTCCTACCCGTCGCTAAAAAATTAATGATGATATTGATGTGTCATCATAAGATATGTCACATCATCATTGAAAAATACTATAAAAAATTATCATGTTAGCAATTCTATTTTTTTCCGAGGGTGACAAAAACATGATGTTAGGTATTATTTTGAAAAAAAAAACATATAGTTGATTGACTAAAATGGAACCAAAGTAATAGTTAGGTGAATTATACACAATTTACCAAATTTGGTATCTAAGGGGCAAAACTTCATTCAATCCAAAAACATTATTGTTTTTTTAATTTTGGAATTAAAATATTTAGAACTTTCAATTTTAATTATATTTGAGTTAAAATATGTAAATAATCTTTTGGTAATAGATATATTTTTTAATTTTTACTATAGAAAATTATAAAGTAATCATTTAATTAAAAAATAAATGCACCATTACCCCCAATAAACTATGCACATTGAATCGAGTTTCCCTTAAAGTTGATTTTAGGACATTTTACCCCTAAAGTTTAAATCGTTGTCCTATTTGCCTTAAATGTTAATTTAACCGAGGACCAATTAAAATACGTCTTATCACCACTTAATTTTGATTTTTTTATTTAAGTAAATAAAAATCAGTTAAAAGATAAAGTAAATAATATTTTCCCAACCCCACGAAATTCTCCCTTTTTGTTCTCATCCAATTAGACCTTTGCATTCTCTTGGATTTTCCAAGGCCACAAGAGATATTTATGTGTGGAATCTATGAAGTAAAAATGCTGTTCCACAATCGAACATTTGCTGATGCATTGGTACTGGAATTAGTTCCTTTTTTTTAATCTATAGTCTATACTAATTAAAAGAGTTGGAAAAATTATATCTTGATAAAATTTCTCATGAAGCTGGGATTTGAACCACCACATTCATTTTATCAATGTTTTTAAAATCGGACCGGACGTTAAATCGGTGAAGGTACTGATTCACTGGCTCAATCGAATTCAACCGTGGTTCAACCAGATTTTATATAAAATAATATTTTTTAAATTTTACATAATATTCAAAGCAATATTAATATATATATATATATATATAACACTTTTTTTAAGTTTACAATATTAAAAGGTATAAAAATATCACAAGTCATAACATATATAAGATAAAAAAACATAAAATCAAGTGAAACAAAATGATTCAAATCAACTACAACATAATATTTAAGGTCAAACATATTAAATAATAAATATAATTATATAACTATAATTAAAAAATAAATTTGGGACTGAAAAAAAGCATAACAAACGATGTCGTTTGGTTTAATTTAAAAAAAAAACAATCTCACATGACTAAGAAACATAGAAGATCATCCCAACTGACTTCTATAAATACTAGAGGTAATTTGACATTTAAAATCATGGAGCCTTTTGGTGAGCACAGAACGAACTATTCTTTCGCTTCAATTGAGCTCGAATTTCAAGTTTCAATCGAGCTTCTAAATTTTTTTTGAGTTCGAGCTTTTTCGAGTTCAAGTTTCAATATTATATTTCAAGTTCGAGTTGAACTTGATATTTTTTAGCTAGTGAGTTTTTTGAGTCGAGTTGAGCTTACTTTTAAAGTTTTCGAGTTCGAGTCGAGCTCAGCAGTACTCGAGTTCAACTTGGCTCGTTTAACAAATGACGTCGTTTGGTTTAATTTTTTTTAAAGAAAAAAAGAGAATCAGCGGTTCACACCGATTTTGTCAGTTTTCAGCCGATTCACCCCGGTTTTGCCGGTTCTCAGCCGGTTCTGTGCTCATCCGGTTTTGGGAGTTAACCGGACCGAACAGACCACCAGTTCACGATTCAACCGGTCGAACCGGCCGGTCCGATCCGGTTTTAATAACATTGCATTTTATTAAATGAATGAACATTTAACTATGTATAAAAAAGGGAATAAAGCGTTAATACATATCAGTAAGTTCACAAACCAAGTAATTTTCTAAAATAATTTGTAATCGTAAATTGCACTGACTCCTATTCAAGACCCGGCATCATATATCTCACCAAGCACTAGAAAAAATCGAGATCACAAACTTTGCTTCACATCTAACTAGAGGATGTAAGTTGGTACCAAATAAATTGTCATACTTGTAAGCACCATTTTTAAACACCCCAAACCAGAACCATATATCGGGCCTCAAGCTCAAATCTTAAAAGTAAACCCAAACCCGAAGTTCAATTAGCTAACTCCCAAAAACCGACCCGGGACAAATCAAATCCGACCCGAAAATCTAATCCACCGTTCCTCTACCCAACCAAATCCCACCATTTCTCCTCCCAAACAAAGACCACCTTGGGGACAAAAATTGATATTTTACTTTTCTACTATGCATGTTTTAATGTTTTGGTAAATTCACTATTTTAGTCCCTAAATTTTATCTTATTTTTATATTTTGGTCACTGGACCTTTCATTTCTAATTTATTGCAATTTTATTGTTTTGTTTTGTTTTGTTTTATTTTAATTTAGTCACTGTTAGTTTCTAATTTAGCTACTGTTATTTTAATTTTTGCATTTTGGTTACTATTTATTTCTGATTTAGTTACTAACTTTTATTTTCTTACATTTTAGTCATTTTTTATTTTATTTTATTTCGATTTAGCCCTTACATTTTGGTTTGTGTTAATTTAGCTCCTATTGCATGTTCAATTTGTTCTTTTATCTTGGTAATTTTATATTTATGCAATTAGGTCCTCATATTTTATTTTATTTTATGTTGTTTTTTACTGTTTTTTATTTTTTATTTGTTGTTTTTATTATTTTAATTATGTTTATTAATTGTTTTAACATTTCGTAGTTTGATTTCGTAGATTTAGTTTTAAATTAGAATAACATTTGAATCGAATTTAGGAATTAGGACGATACTCTAGTTTAATTAGGGAGTAATTCGAGTCGAGTTTTCGCTTAACATGCCTGATTACTCGATTGCTCGATTCTAAAATTAATTAATAATTAATATTTTTTTTAAAAATACTTTAAGTGTAATAATTTAGATAATAATTAGGGTTTTAATTAGCCCCCTAACTTTAGAATTTGTCAATTTAAGTCCTTAGACTTTTAAATCTTTTAGAGTCCGATATTTTAGTTCTTTGACCTTTTTGGTCCCCGAGTTTCGATTAGAGCCTTAATATTAACATAATTAAATAGGATAAATAGAGCCCCACTTTTAGTTAGATTTCAAACTAGTCTTTTAATTTAGGGGATAATTTGAGTCGGCCCTCGCCTAAATGCTCGAGAGACCATCTCGGTTATTCAATTCAATAATTGGTTTAAAATCAAATAAGATTAATATTAGAGCCAACATTTTTAGGTCTTTGCCTCTAGGTTCTTTAATTTTAATAATTTGACTCTTTAAGTTAGAAAAAAGCCTTTAATTTACCTTAGCTTAATTATGATTAAATAAAATTTTGATTGATAGCATTGTTTTCTAAACCTAAGGCAACGTTCACGTATTAGGAAATCAATGGTATATCTCCCGCAAATATGCTCAGGGGGTGACTACCGGTGATTCTCAAAATAGGTCGACATCCTTTTCAAATACCGCATCATGATTTTCTAAAAATGAGGCACTATTATGTTATTAGGCACAATATCTGATCTCCCACATTTATGCTTGGGAGCGAATGCTATCGGTCTCAATAAATGAATACCCTTTTCAACTTTGCATCCGTAATGATTTTCAAATTAAATAAAGATCGAACTCAAAATTTTTGATTTTAAATATAGGGTTATCAACTAGGTACCAAATTTTGGGCACTTGTGGGGGTGCTAATCCTTCCCCCACGCTTAACTGACTCTCGAACCCGATTTCTAGATTTTCGCAGACCTTAAAACTTGATATTTTGATAAAAATGAAATGTTTTATTAAAATCACTCGGTTTTTATGGTGTCCCAATCTCACCTTAAATGATTGGTGGCAACTCCTCACATTTTGCAAAACCTTTTCAAAGAGAACCTCCTCGAGTCGGTATCGGTCTTTTCCCCGCCCAGGCGAAAAACGGTGTCGACAACACTGATATGTATGTTACACCGACTCTTCATTGTCAATTAGGCTTAATTATGTTCAACACTTTGTCTCTAATATGTATAGGAAGAGATGCATAATTTTATGTTAGGGGTCGAACATAAGGTACCAATTACCTCTCTTCCAAAAAGATCCCGAAGGAAAGATCTTTCCGAACATGTCTTATGCAGTATGTTCTTCATGTTTCCTACTTTTAGCTTCTCGTGCATTTCAATCTTCTTAAATCCAGGATTTTTCTGATATATATGGTATGCACACAATTAGTTGCTTGCAACCCCCACTAAAAAAAACAGTTTCAACTATGATTTAAGCTAAAAAACGTGTTACCTCTATCAGCCACACAAAGTAAACCGCCGAATACATCACTTGTCCTTCGAAATCCTCGAATTCTCTATCTTGAACCAATAAGCAGGAATCTAGGAGACAAAATTCTTTATCCAAAAATATATCGATTTCATTATCCATGTTTGATAGTTATCAATCAAATCCTGGACTGGCTTATTGGAGAACTGCAAAGAAAGTTTTAAGGTACTTGCAAGGCACTAAGGATCACATACTCACATATAGAAGAACTAGTAACATTGATGTTGTTGGTTACTCGAACTCAGGCTATGCCGGATGTTCGAATACCCAAAAGTCCACATTCGGCTATGTGTTTATTCTAGCTGATGAAGATGTCTCATGGAAGTGTGGTAAGCAGACTGTCATTGGTACGTCCACTATGGAGGCTGAATTTGTAGCATGCTTTGAAGTTACAGTTCAATCTTCATGGTTGCGCAATTTTGTTGATGGTTTAGGCATCGTTGGTACCATTGCTAAACCGATGAGGATTTATTATGATAAAGCGGCAGTTGTATTCTTCTCTAAGAATGATAGATACTCCAAGGGTATCAAACATATGGATTTAAAGTATCTATATGTCAAAGAAGAGGTGTAAAATTTAAAAGTTCAAATAGTGCACATCAACACCAATGATATGATTGTGGATCTGTTGACTATAGGACTAGCTCCTAAGACATTTATTGGTCATGTTAGTGAAATGGGAGTAGTTTCGAAGTCCTTGTATAGCGGATGATTAATCATACATGTATGGATATATGTCTTGCACATTTATGTTTGTTTAATACTCTAGATATTGATGTTTGTTTGAATTTTACTTATCTATTAATCATATTTCAATTATGCATATTTTGTTATGATTATAGATGTTGGATCTTATTTTAAGACATTGTGGGATAATATATTTTCGAGTGTCTATCTTATTAAATTGTGTCTGTTTGAATTGGATTGACCTATAATACATGGAAGGAATCAGGATGTTTTCCAGGCCCATGACTGCCATGATTCGGTCGGTTTAGTTCTTACGAAGTTGTGACTTGTATATTACATTATTGAAGTGAGCTCAAATTATGTTAATATGTTATATACTTATCATATATGAATTAAGAGGGAGAATGTTAGAAATTTTGATTTTTAATATTGATTCATATAATTTAAGTAATTCATAATTGTTGTTGTTGTACACACGGTGATGATTAGTGTAGTATTAATGAGGCAATTATCAGGTGTAAATCCCTCTGTCCCATACCGTGAAAATATAAATTTGAGCGGTGTTATGTGTAACTGAAAAATAGAGGATCTTTTCGGTTATTTTGGCCTTTCGATTATTTTGTTATTTAAAAAACATAGTGAATCAGTTTTTTAAAATCTAACGTAGCAAACAATTTTCTCTCTCTCAAGGCTCTCTCTTTTTCTCTCTTAAAAAGAAAATAAGGTTCTGATTCTTTCATCAAGAATCAAACAAGTCTTGATATCATCACAAGTCGAATTGAGGATTATACAACATTGGGATTGGATAACATTTATTATTTCTTATATTTGGGATATTCAACTATCATAATGAAATCATCAAGTAAGTTTTCATTTCTTTTACTGTAATTCTTAATAATTATGTGATGAGCTTGATTTGGTTGATTTAATTACCCTATCAAGATCCTTATATGTTAATTGCTTCCAAATTCAAAATTAATTAATTTTAACAGATTTCAATTAATTCTTAACAATAATAAAATTCTGACAGATATAGCCACAATAGCAGCAAAAATAGTTGCAGAGTAAGCAACTGCAATATAATCATCCATAGATAGTGACAGGCACAATAGATGTCAGTGTCACTAAATGGTTCATAGAAATCAAGAAATCCATTTTTTATGTATCTGCAAAGTGCTCAATACTACTGATAGTGTATTTGAATGTAGAAACCAAGGTTTCGGAACGAACAGTATACTTTTAGCACTTAACCTCATTTCAGACAATGAGATAATATTCCTATATAATCCTTCCAAGCTTTTCTGTTACCTTGATAACGACATATTCAGCTTGTTCTCATTTGGCAAAGTTTTTGTAGGGTGGAAAAGCACTAAACTACCCAACAAATAATGCTAAACAGCCACCTTTTGATCCTAAAATTATAGTTGAAAAAAATATTTTTTCATTCAACCTTAAAAACTTTTTTCCCAAAATTTGTAGTGGAAAATAAATTTTGAGGAGAAATTATATTTTTACTTTCAAATATTTAACTTTAATTGATTGTTAAACTAATGCACGCACATGCATAATTATATATAGGTTGTTTTTGGTATATTAATGTTCATATTGATCGTTAGATATAAGTGGATTGAACTTCAAAGTTTTTTAGAATAAACATGTTTGATCGGTTGGTCAATCACTCACATTCTTTTCTCTAGAGTCGTCTTTTTCTCTCTCATTTAGATAGGATTAAAATTATATTTAAAATTTGTCAAAATTTTTAGATATGTTCATCTAATATTTTCATTGAATATAATATAATGTATTTTTACAATATTTGTAGACAACCGTTTTGTCCGGTTTATAGGAAATCACTTGCAACCCAAACCAGTTGGAGGCCTAGTTCAAGTCCAAAGATCCAGCAGAGTAACTTCTATTCCACGTGAGAATCCCCTGGAAAATAAAGACGGTTATGAGGAGTTAATAAGCATAAAAGTGAAGTTGGTGAATAACGGGGTCCATGATCAAGGGAAAAACGGAAAAATGGAAGTTTTTTATTGGAATTAACCACCAGGCACAGGAGGAGATATCAGCAAGGAACGGAGACAGAACAAAAAAAGAAAAGAAAAGGAACACAGAGCCAAAAAAAACTGGAACCAGCCGAAAGACATCAACAATTAACAGAGAAAGCAAAAGAAAAAATTCATTCCCCATCTATTCTTCTTACAGTTTAGAAACAATGAAAAATGTTGAAGGTTCTACTGCCCGATTCTAAAAAAGGAGTGTAAAAGCTGTGTCAACAACGTCCAGGGATTCAGAGATCGAACGGTGTAATCAAGATCTTTCCTATTCTATTTTTTCGAAAGCAATACCATCAATTTGTAAGTAAGTTATGTTTCATTTTTTTCTGAAAAAAATGCTATGTATGGTTCTTTAATTTTCTTTTGAAGCCGAGAAAATAAGAATAACAGAGAAAGAAATTAGAAAATTACCTTAGTTGTGGAAGAACAAAAGAGTAGGTGTCTTCAAATATCAATAATGCAAATGCTTTTGAACTGGCACGCCGTTAGAATATCTCGAGTGTAGCTTCTGTCAAAAGGATCTCCAAAATTGTGATGCTTACGAGTATGAAGCTACTTCTAAACTCCCCAAATCTCTATCATTGGATTCCCTAAACCAGTATTGAATCTCATATGCATTCAATTTCTCTTGGTTATTTCAATCGAGACTCATTAATCTTCAGTCTCATCCCTGATCACCAACTGTCATTGTTACTATCCATATCAGGAGCTCTTTCTACTTCCAAAATTAATTCAGAATCTTCCACCATGCACGAATTCTGAATTTCAAATTCAACTCAAGTCGCCCTTTGCGGGTTTTCAACTTGAGACCTCCTTTGGTTCCAAGACGCCCTTTTCGGGTTTTCATCTTGAACCCTCCTTTTATTTCTCTTTTTTTCATTTTTCTCTTTTTTCATTTTTTCTTCCCTTTTTCATTTTTTCTCATTTTTTTTCTTCTTTTTCTTCTTCTCATTTTTTTCATTTTTTTCATTTTTTCATTTTTTCATTTTTTCTCTTTTATTTCTTCTTCAAGCGAAATATCTCTTAACAGCGTCAGAATTCACTGGATATGGTAATTCTGATCCGTCCATTTCAGTTAGGACTAGAGCTCCCCCAGAGAAGGCCTTCTTGACAACATAAGGTCCTTCCCAATTGGGCATCCAATTTCCTCTGAAATCCTTCTGAATAGGCAAAATCCTTTTAAGCACCAAATCTCCCTCATAGAATTCTCGAAGGTGAACTTTCTTACCATGTGCCCGTATCATACGTTTTTGGTACATCTGACCATGACAAATAGCTTTCAATTTCTTTTCTTCAATCAAATTCAACTGGTCATACCTAGATTGGACCCATTCTGCCTCATCAAGCTTTACCTCTGACAAAATCCGAAGTGAGGGAATTTCCACCTCAATAGGTAAGACAGCTTCCATCCCATAAACCAAAGAAAATGGAGTTGCCCCAGTTGAAGTCCGTACTAAAGTTCGATAAGCAAATAGAGCAAAGGGCAACTTCTCATGCCGATCCTTATAGGTCTCAGTCATTTTCTCTATGAGCCTTTTGATGTTCTTATTGGCCGCCTCTACTGCCCCATTCATCTTTGGGCGATAAGTGGTGGAATTATGATGCTTTATTTTGAACTGTTTACAGACCGAGTCCATCATCTTATTGTTTAAATTCAACGCATTATCGGAGATAATCCTCTCTGGTAAACCATATCTACAAATGATTTCCTTCTTTAAGAATTTGCATATTGTAGACTGGGTAACATTTGTGTAAGAAGCTTCTTCTACCCACTTGGTGAAATAATCTATGGCTACCAGAATGAAGCGATGACCATTTGAAGCTTTGGGCGAAATTTGTCCAATAACATCCATGCCCCACATTGAGAATGGCCACGGAGCTGTCATTACATGCAACGGATGAGGAGGAGTATGTATTCTATCTCCATAAATCTGACACTTGTGACATTTTCGGGCATAATTGATACAGTCTGTTTCCATAGTTGACCAATAATACCCAAATCTCATAATCTGCCTAGCCATAGCATGCCCATTAGCATGGGTACCACATATTCCCTCATGCACTTCTTCAAGAATCAATTTGGCTTCTTTCGCGTCCACACATCTTAACAAAACCTGATCCAGACTTTTCTTGTATAGGGTCTCACCATCAAGCGCATACCCTGATGCCATTCTTCTAATGGTTCTCTTATCATTCTCAGTGGCCTGTTCTGGATAACTCTGATACCTTATATATTGCAAGATATCATAATACCAAGGGTTTCCATCTTCTTCCTCTTTAATATTAAAACAATGGGCTGGATACTCATAAGCCTTCATTTCAATGGGCATCATATTTGAATGCTCGTTCATCTTAAACGCTGCTGCCAGTGTGGCTAAGGCATCTGCCATTTGATTCTCTTCTCTGGGGAGATAATTGAAAGTTACTTCTTCAAATTCTTCAACAAGTTCCATAACTAACTTACGATATTCTACAAGCTTAGGATCTTTTGTCTCCCATTCTCCCCTGAGTTGGTATATTACCAAAGCTGAATCTCCATATACTTTAAGCATTTTTACTTTGCAATCAACGGCAGCTCTAAGACCCAGAACACAAGCTTCATACTCGGCCATATTGTTTGTACAATCAAAATTAAGCCGACTGGTGAAAGGATAATGCTCTCCCTCTGGTGAGACCAAAATTGCCCCGATTCCATGTCCCAAGGCATTTGAAGCACCATCGAAGTTCAACTTCCAATATTTTCTAGTTGATGCAACTGCTTCTTCTACTGAAATAGCCATTAAATATTCATCTGGGAAATCAAAGCTCAATGACTCATATTCTTGCG